ATTGGTGCTCAATTAATCTCACCTTTCCCAGCTGTAGGTTTTTTGACTACATTCCTTTCCTTTCTTCCCCTCTGTATTTGCCTTGAAATCCTTCTAGTTTTTCTCCTGAAAGACCCTGCCATTTCTACTGTATCTAAGCTCAGATGAATGAGGTTCCCCAAATCCCAATAGAGTAAGCAGAGGCACATTATCTTATGCCCTAAATGGTTAATGGATATATTGTTTGAGTTTAAAGATGTATTTTTAGAAAAATTTCTAGGTGACAAATATCTTGACATAAAATGGAAAGAGTTAATGTAAGGAGAAAATTCAACTAAATTTTAGCTTCTACATTATCTATGTTTAGGGATTTGTCTTTATTCATTTTCAAGGTGTAAGTTCATGTTCATCTTTTGACCAAAAAAAGTTGCTTCAAGGAGGTAAGAATGGGCAAGTCCCAGGTTCTACAGTTAGAAAAATGGGTCAATGTCTGAGCTCCATTACTTTCACAAGGAGATATTCCTTTTTCTTCCTCTGGCCTTCTTAACAAGACTAATCAAGTAGACCTTAACGTAGATTCTAATTGTCCTGGCAGGACCGCTACAGGGAACTAATGTGAATGTCTCCTAAATTTTAAATTCCTAATTATTAGTAAACACAGCTTTAGTAAATTTGAACACAAGGACTTAGCAGTAATTCTGTAAAAATTTCAATTGTACAAAATACATTCTCTGACTCTTGCTATTTTAATGTTTTATCACAACCTTTCTCAACTGGCAGTCTGTGAGAAAATTAAAGCCCCACACAATGCCTTGGGTGAGGTCTCCCATAACTTTCCTTCTTGCTGCTCCTTCTTGGGCTGTTTCTTCCTCTATGAAATACATTCCCACATTCCCCTGAGATAATCCTCTTCACCTTTCCAAAGCTGAGGAGCTCCTCTGTGCCAGATCCACTTTGGAGCTAACATGGAGATGCACTGGCTCCCTTTGAGTGTGCTTGTAACACTGTGCTGTTATATTTCTAATGGCATGATAATTTTCTGCCTTTTGAGTTATTCATGCATGTCTTTTCTTTCTTATCAGGCTCTAAATGTATGAAAGCAGTGTCTTGGCACACAAACCTGGCAGATAATCAGTCTGACTTGGCATTGAGAAACGAGGAAAACTGTTAGGACACCATTCAGGAGAGTCATTTTGATGTAAAAATCAAACAAAAATTTTGATGCAGCTTCAGGCTATTAATGCCACATGACTGCTGAAAATCACCCTTTGAAGCCAGAAGACAAGGATTCAAGTTATAATTTAGTTGAGCTGTTTCTTAAGTATATAACCAACAGCATGTAACTACTGGTCTTCCTTTCTTTATGCATTAGTTCCCTATCGTCCTAACCAACAGTCACATTCTCAGTGTTACTTTGTTCAGTGGTATTTTTCATCAACAGAATAAATACAACATTTAAATTATATTTTTATCATCATCTGTCACCTATGAATATATATCCAGGCGGCACATATAGATGCATATAATATGTACATAAACACACACATATATGAGGACTATAAAATCCCTGTGGAATATTATATACCTACTTGAACATTTTTGTATATCAAAATATAAACTTCATGGGGAATATTATAATATTTAATGTTATATATTTTAATTTATGAGGAATATTTTAGCAGATTCTTATATGTAAAGCTATAGCTAGATATAAGAAAATGCATTCATATATCATCTACCCACTTATCTGTCTATACTGTTCTGTTGTTACACAGTAGAAATTCAATGTAAATTTGATGTACTAAACAGGCAACTGAATCTTGGAACTCTAGTAACCCAGTTAAAAAAATCTCTGTTCTATATTCTTCAGATTTTTCTCAGGTTTCTTGGATCACCAGAGAGCAAAGCACCCTTTTATCTCAGCTCCCTGAAGAAAAGCCTTTACTGAAGTATGATTAAATATTATGCCCTCAGCTTTTAGAGAAATGTCTATCTGAACAGTGATTTTGTCTCTTGTTATTCCATGACCCCAATTTAAGAACGTTTACAATATATTTGTCCTTGAGTTCAGGTCCAAAAAGTTTGTCTCTTAAATCTAAATTATGCTCTTCTGGTCAGAAAACGAGAACAAAACACACTGAGTATCCTCCCTTTATGCCCTAGCTTTCTTGACATTCAGTTCAGTTCTATGCTTTGTGCTAGTAATCATGTATGCTCAGATATCTTGTTGCATACAGCTAGCTACTGGCTTTCACTAGATTCAGGCACTGTAAAATACCAGATTCTATGAGAAAATTATTTATACACATAAATGAGTTAAAGAAAATATGGGGAGGTGCTGCAGTCAAAAAATTTCTCTTGAGGAGTCTTTATTCCCATTATCCATGTGGAGAGCAGGAAATACTTCTCTCTTTCCCCCACTTATCCTTACCTTTATTCTGTTGTACTCAAATAAATCTTTGATAAAACTTCAAAAAATTTCTGTTGATTTTGAGATATTAAGACTTAAATGCTAACCTTCACTTCTAGCAATGTCTGACATTTGCTCAGTGATGATTTGGTTTAACTTATATTTGTCAAAGTAAAAAGAAATGTAAATGAAGATAACATTTCTTAATTGCCCATTGCATGTAACTTAATTATAATATTTCAATTAACTTCTCCTGGTGGTCCTACAAGGAACTTATTGTTGTCTCCACTTCAAAATGATAAGCTCGAGGTTCAGAAAAAGTCAGATTAACTTGCTCAAGATTTTTAAGGAGTCTCCAAATTTTTTTCTAGAGTGGTTGTACCAGCTTGCATTCCCACCAGCAGTGGATTAGGGTTTCTTTTTCCCCGCATCCTCGCCTACACATGTTGGTGGTGGTGTTTTTGATGATGGCTATTCTAACAGGGGTGAAGTGGAATCTTAGCGTGGTTTTGATTTGCATTTCCTTTATGGCTACAGACGGTGACTCCTGGGGATATATCCAAAGAAATACAACACAGATTACTCCAGAGGCACCTGCACACCCATGTTTATTGCAGCACTATTCACAATAGCCAAGTTATGGAAACAACCAAGATGCCTCACTATTGATGAATGGATCAAGAAAATGTGGTACATGTACACAATGGAATTTTACTCAGCCATGAAGAAAAATGAAATCTAATCATTTGCAGGTAAATGGATGGAACTGAGAACATTATTCTGAGCGAGGTTAGCCAGGCTCAGAAGACCAAAAATCGTATATTCTCCCTCATATGTGGACTTTAGAGCTAGGGCAAATGCAGCAATGTTGTTGGACTTGGATCACATGATAAGGGGAGAGCACATTTCGGTGATATAGAAATAGGCAGAAAACCCAAAACATGAAAGCGCTTGATGTCTCCACTACAGAGGAACTAATACAGAACTAATAAAGCTACAGAGGTTATCATGAGGAGGGGATCAGTAACCAGAGTAAAGATCAGTTAGAGATGAATCAACATGGGTCATAACACGTGTACACGAAAGCAATGCTAGGAATATTTCTGTATAGCTATCCTCAACTCAATGAGCAAAAACACTTTGTCCTCCTTATTAGGCTTGTCTCTTTTCTTCAACAAAACTAGTGATAAAGATAGAACAGGGCCTGCCTGGAACTGAGGGTGGAAGAGGGGAGAGGGTGGGGGAGGGGGCGGGGGGGAGAAATGACCCAAACAATGTATGCACATGTGAATAAAAGAATAATAAAAAAAAACTTGCTCAAGATTAGACAGTTCTTGATTCACATTCAAGGTTACTGGTCTCTCCCAGTGTTCTCTTCTTTCCTACAAGCTGCACTAAAAATCCTTGCCATCCTGCTTACTGGGTTCTTATGTTACATAGAGAAGTAGGAAATAGCATAAAAATGAAAACAAAATAGTATTTATGAGCTCAAGTGGAGTTTATTAGCTGTCCTTCTCTAACAGTTTGATGGGGACAGACAGTATTTTCTCCATGGGCAAGGGGAAATCCATGAAATTGGAGAGTAAATTATAATATTATTTGCCAGTTATCCCCAGCAACTATAAGAATATAAGAGTCTTTTAATTGGACTGTTCATTCAATATTTTTTAAATAAGCTTTTATAAACTTATAATTTAATAATATATGGTTATTTTTTAAAAAGTGAATGATATAACTTACAAATGCTAAAGACCAAATGGAAGCCATCTCCATGACTTATAGGAACAGATTCTGAAAATATCCAGACTTTTAGACTGAAGATCTCTGAAAATTCCATGAGATACTGTGAACACCAGCTCATATTATGTACATATGGACTTTTTATAAAAATTCCACAAATTTCAGAAACTGTGTCTATCTGACAACAATCCATGGAGTTTAAGGACACTATTCTCATAACAAAGAAAAAAGTTAATTGGTCAATTTAGGGACCAGATTCCCTGTGGGCAGTGTGGGCTTTTTAATATCACTGCCTTGTGAAGTCTTTAGCATTTCTTCTTCCATGCAATAACATTCTTCACATTCACTTAAGTAATGTCATATCTAAGACAGCATTCCTGGATGCCCAATAATTGCTGTGACTCCAAAGTTGCCCAGGCTTGCATCTGTGTGATAGATGCCTTAACTTCAAGTTCTTTATGGAACCCTAACATCTGTTCTAAGCATCTGCCCTGGTATCTTATAGACCACGAATTTGTGAAAATTCTCATCTGAATGCAATTCTTGTCAACTACATAACAATTTGCTACAAGAATATCTAATTCTCTCTTATACAACCATTTCTTTTTCTTAACATTTGGTATTCTTTTAATAGTTTCAGTCAGAAGTAAAATAAGAGGCTGTGTAGAAAGAACTTTGTGTGAGTATTTATGTGTACCAATATAGGTTAATCTGAACTTTCTTTAAAATCTGGGGAAAGGTATTATCTTCTCATTGTTCTTTTTTAGTAAAGAATAGACACTCTGTAGTATTTGCAAGAAGCTGCATCTCAGGAATTATTTACGCATCCTATGAGAAGTGCTGTCTGCTTTCAAGCAGTTCTTGAACATACCTTTTGTTCTGCTGTCATGGTTAGACTTTGCAATCGACCAGTCATATTCCCTAGACTCTTTTCAAAAGCTGCTACGAGGTGAGCCTGTGAAGAAAATGGAAGAAATACGTTTGAAAAGTCAGATTCTCACGTGGATAAATGAAATACCTTCATTTTATAAAGTGCTTACTTTCAGGCATTCTAACTCTTTAAGTAGTATGACTGTCACGGTTAGCTTTCAATGGTGATTCTCCTTTAACACAAATCTTTATTTTTAACTTTGGCTTCTTAAAATCAGTGTTTTAGTATCCTGGCATTTAATGTGAATTCAGCTTCTGAAAGGGGATGGTATTTTGAAAATAATAACACCTTCTGACTTACACATCATGCAGGCATTTGACACTCAAAATACTGAATAAAGTTCTGAGCTGCCAAGTCTTGAGAAAGAAAGCCCAAAAGGAGGTCACTGAAATAGTCAATGGACAAATGTTCCTCATTTTTAGCCTTCCAGGATGACCTTTGAAGACATTGTTAGCTCCTCTATTGCAATGATTCTCTCCTTCAAGTGTCAGACATCTGCTGACAGCTGTAACATTATCTTCCCCTTTTTCTACTGAACAATTGAATTGTAAAGAGTAGTCTTCTTTTTTCAAACTCTTTAATAAAATAGCTTTTCTTCCTATATTTTTATTCCCTTCAACTAAGGAAGTATAGGTTGTCCAACCAGCAATTATTATGCATCACATTTTATTCAACATTAAGCTTTTGTGGATTTGGGATTTTATTTTAAATTTCAGTTACACATATTGCAGTACATAACTGGAACTCTTGTGATTAGGAAGTATTTGATAGTCTTACTGCAGCTCTAAAATAGGCCACTTCCTACTGATGTGCTATTATGCAACAACTGAACCCAGAATACTGCCTGTGAAGAGGGGCTTCAGTCTTTTACCATGGCTTGAGGCACAACTGCAGGTATATTAGCTCAAAAGATATAAAGTTATCATGGCCCTAGATGGATGTAAGGATTGAATGTCTTCCAATCTAAATCTATAATAAACTACATATAGGCAAACTTCCATAAGCCTTGGCAAAAGACTGATGTTCCTAAGGGAAAGGTGTAAGAAAACTCCAGTATAATACATATCATTGTAGCTGCAGCAGAGCTGAAAGGGACCACAGGGGTCTTAAGGATCAGGCTCTGAAAGTTTATTCCACTACTGGTGACAGTTAGAAAGTGTAAGTCCCTTTCATTAGCATCATGGTACAAAGGTGCTGTTCCTAGCTGTGCACTTGTCCTGGGCTACTTTTCTTTACCTGATACAACAGCAGGGAGAAAAACAATTTGTAATGAGTATCATTACTAAACTTCAATCCATCAGTACAATTCTTTATTCTACTACCCTCCATCCTGTTTTCCCATCTTCTTTCCCTCTCAGTCTCATTCCTCTCTCCCCATATGTATACATACTACACACCACGCACTTACTTAAACCCTTACACAATGTGTGGTGAACACATATAAGATTGTTGTCGTACTGAAGAATTGTTGTGGTGAACACATAAGATTGTTGTGTATTGATGGATTGTATTGTATTATAGTATGAAAAATTGTTGAAATAAGAAGTATTAGCTAGCGTGTGTTAGGACTTAGAAGCCAGCAGGAGTGTGACGGCTGTTTTACTAATAAGCCAACCTTAAGGTGGTGCTGATATGCTAATAAGCCAACCCTAAGGTGACAGTGTGGATAACAGAAGTGGTGAGGTCACCACAAGGTATATAAACTCAGGCCAGAACCCAAAGCCTTGCTCACCTCCTCGCCCATTGGAGACCATACTGTCAGAGTCCACCTGAGACCCTGACGTAGAGGCAGCCACCAGTCATGAGCATGCCCCTTCTCCTGATGACCACTGGGTGTTGCCAGTGAACCATGAAACTGGACCTGCACTGAATGCGGCTGTGAGGATCCCCTGGGCCGCAGATACGCCCTCCCCCGCCTCATTGGCTGAGAAAGCATTGCACAGTGAGCGAGTCTTAGGGGAAGGTCTGAGTAACTCCTGGCTGGCTAGGGTAGCAGAGGCAGGCATTAGGATCCATAGGAAAGTGCTGCATGAATTTGTTTGAATTAAAAACCCTGTTTTCTGAAATAAGAGTCTCCTGAGTACTGTCCCTCTGTACTCAATTGAACTATAAGTGCTCACGACGCAATGTTTGTTAACAGATTTAACTGAATAATAGTACTCTAAAAAGGAATGACAGTTCATAGTTGAAAGTATTTTCAATGACAAGGAATGTCATTATATCAGTACTCATAGAAGTTATAAGGCCACATCCTGCTTTTGCATGTATTTTGACCTTTTTAAAAGAATTACACTGTAAATAAAATGTAAAGCTCCTTGCTTTATCACATAGCAAACATTCATGTACTTACAAAATCAAGAAATAGAGCATTTCAAGACCCTAGAAGCCATCCATATTCCTCCCCATCACTGTTCCCTGTCCTTTCCTAAGGTAGCCATTAACACAACTTCTATGTTAATTACCTTCTTGCTGTTCTTGATGTACACCTAAGTTTATATTTGTACACACTATGTTTTAGTTTGGCCTATTTTTATTTTGAGACGATTTTCTTCAGGTTAACACTGCTTTTGAGACCCACCTATGTGGTGTGCCGCAGGAGTTAGTTTTTGCCCTAGGTCATTCACCTACAGGTGAATTTACCATACATTTTCCTCACGATGCCCATTTGTGCTGATTCCACCTTAGGCTATGATAAACAATCCCACTAGTTAGTTATAAAACAAACTAAATTCTAGAACTAAATTTTTTTGTTTTAAGGTAAGGAAAATTCTTGAAGAAAACATTTATTATTTACTAAATTGAAAGTTGTGCTCAACCTTAATATTCTAATTCTTCAAATGTACAGAAATGAAAGATTTAATTATCGTACTGTGAAGCTTGAATGTATGAATCTGATGAAAATTACACTGTGTGCATATTTTATCAACTCAATAGCAATTAAAGCATGGCAATTAATCAGGATTATAAAGAGTACACTGTATGTAAAAACTATATTGCTTCCATTTTATTGCTGTGAGTAATATTTCCCATTGCAGTCAGTTTCTAATGTGTCAACTGCTTTCCATTAATTACTCACCAAAAAACCCTAAATAACATTTTAAGTCACTTTGTTTTCAATGAAAAGAAGGTTAAAATTATATTAGTGAAATACCGTTTCAGATTTATATTACCTTGGTTTAGTTCATCAGATTAATTTTGTTATTTTGGAAATAAAAAAATGTTAAATTTCTTGCAAAAAGTAGTAAATAGAAAAGGAATAAAAGTGGGGCTAATGTTTTGGCTCAATAGGAAGAACACATGCTTTATAATAAGCATGAAGCCCTGAGTTCAAACGCTAGTCCCACCCTAAAAACAGAAGAAAAGAAAAGGATGAGTGGGGGACGTTCTTTCATCAATAAGGATCTTCACCATCTTAATGAAGAGAAATTGGAAACAAAACTGATGAAATAGAGGATAATATTTCTTTTAAGAGCTATAAATTCTTCTTAAAATTGTAGATATTTGAGGTGATTGCATAGTTTGGTTGGTTCTAACTTTTTTATCAGTTGCATATTTTAAATCAGCATTAAGTGTATTAATATGATTATAATATTCCCTGAGCTATATTAGATATCCCTATTACATTTCCAAACCCATCAAAATTTGTTCTTTACTAAATTTCAATGCAACAACCCTTAATGTGAAAATCATACTCAGATTTAATGAAAATGTAAAGCTTACTTATAGTTTTAACAAATTAATAAAAACTTTCTCACCTAGCTAGTCAGTAAAGTATAAGAGACTTAATAAATACTTTTTTCTACCTCCAAATAGAAATTATAAGTTAAAGAAATTCTAAATTAGGGCATAGTTCAATTGCAGAGAGCTTGACTAGTTTAAATGCCTGGGTTTCATCCCTAGCCCCAGTGAAAACAAACCAAAAAAGAAGTTTAACAATTCTTTTGAGGAGACCTCTAGATTTTAGTTTCATATATGTTTCAACCTTTTTCCACCAATTCTTATTCCTTTATTTGGTGATGAAATGGATTGTTAAGGTGTTTTACCATCAGATAAATTTATTTGCTGAAAATGTCAAAAGCTGAAATTAAAAGGATTCAGGTAATGGATATGTGCATTGCCCTATACTACATTTACAAAGCAGTTTATTTAAATTCGCTATTAGCATATATGTTGATCTTTTATATTAGTGAACATATATAAGTAACTAGAAAACAATGTTACTGCCAATTCTAACATTTTAACTGCAAGGATGGAGTTATAGATTTATATCCATTTGTATTTTTAAGAGAATAATCTCCTTTACACCTTGAGGAATTCAAATTACTTGTTAGTCATCTATTAACTACAAATCATCTTGAACTCATTTGTTCATTTTGGCTTTTGGGTTTTAAGGGAACTTTAGATATCATAGACCATATTGAGCCACCAGAGAATTTGCTTAATGTTTGCTTTTTCCTCAGTCCTAACAATTGCTGTTTAAAATTGATTCAGAATATGTTTCATTCATTTTATTTCTTGGTTACTTAATATATGCATATATTTTACCAAGCACATACCTAAAATAAGTTAATCATAGGAATTAAATAAAATCATTTTCTATAGGACTTCTTCATAATAAGTCAAGTCTTTTTGTTGTTTTAGGATTTTTTTTGGTTTGTTTTCATTGGGGCTAGGGATGAAACCCAGGCATTTAAACTAGTCAAGCTCTCTGCAATTGAACTATGCCCTAATTTAGAATTTCTTTAATTTATAATTTCTATTTGGAGGTAGAAAAAAGTATTTATTAAGAATCTTATACTTTACTGACTGAGCTAGGTGAGAAAGTTTTTATTAATTTGTGAAAACTATAAGTAAGCTTTACATTTTCATTAAATCTGAGTATGATTTTCACATTAAGGATTGTTGCATGGAAATTTAGTAAAGAACAAATTTTGATGAGTTTGGAAATGTAAGTGTTGAACATTTAAGTGTTTAAATGTTTTAATATGAAACACTTGCATATACACAAGTTGCACAGATAGTACAGAGCAGTTACCTGTACCCTTTATCCATTTTCCTTCCTTGGTTACATCTTTCATTGTTATAATATCAAAAGATGAATTCAATTTTAGTATTCATATATAGATTTGCCTTTATGGGTTCCTGTAATGACCACATAGATCAAGAAACAATGGTATTCCTTCACTACAAAATCTTCTTGCTTCCCTTAGAGCCACATCACTTCTCTCTCCCTAACCCCTAGCAATTGCTATTCTCATTTCTGTTTCTATAATTTTATTATTTCTGCAACATTATATAAACACAATTATACATTGAAGTTGTCTTTTTTCACCTAGTATAAACTCCATGAGATCCATCCAAGCATTGTCTGTATTAGTAGTTAATTTCTTTGTATTGCCAAGTAGCACTGCATGGTTTAGATGTATCAGAATTTATTTACCCAATGACCTATTAAGGGATAATTTGGCATTTTTCATATTTTGTTTCTGTTTTTTGATTATTTTAAATAAAGCTGTTATGTACAGGTTTTTGTATATCTGGGGGTACTCTGAGAAGATATCTAAAATATATTACCAACTTTTTAAAAACAGATGAAAATAAGATATACATTAGACTCCCATCTGTATATATCAACTATTACTAATGATAACAGATAGAACCAAGAGAAGCTAGAAAAAGTTGGGCTTTTTTCTCTAAGAATAGTACTTTTTAAATTAGCAGGAATACTAGTATAAAATCATCTTTTGGCACTGTTTTCTCTAATTCTGTTCCTTACTTTAAAAAAATTATACCCCCTAGGGAAATGTTATTTTTCCTAATTGCCACTCCTATTATGACATTTTAATACCACAGATATCCTTTTAAGTATTTCCTTTTTTGTGCTTTATGCACAAGAAGAGTCAGAGTTTTTAATCACAAGGACACATGTTTATTCACATCAACTCTAGCTGAGAATGCCTGCCCCCAGGCCAAAAAAGACTTCAGTGAAAACAGTGTGACTTGAATAACTCTAAAGTGATAGGCAGTCAGTGGCTGTCACCTGTTTAAAGTGTTTACTCCAAACACAACAAGGGGATTGGACTTTGATCACATGATGAGGCAAGAGCACACAAGGGAGGTATGAGGATAGGCAAGAAACCCAAAAAAACAAGATAGCATTTGATGTCCTCAATGCAAAGGAACTAATGCAGAAACTTTAAAGTGACAGAGGCCAATAGAAGGGGACCAGGAACTAGAGAAAAGGTTAGTTCAAGAAGAATTAACTTAGATGGTAACACACATGTACAGGAAATTAATGTGAGTCAACTCCCTGTATAGTTATCCTTATCTCAACTAGCAAAAACCCTTGGTCCTTCCTATTATTGCTTATACTCTCACTTCAACAAAATTAGAGATAAGGGCAAAATAGTTTCTGCCTGGTAGTGAGGGGGTAGGGGGGGAGAAGGAAGGGGTGGGGGGAAAGGGAAAGGGTGGGGGAAGGGGGCAGAAATGACCCAAACATTGTATGCACATATGAATAAAAGAAAAAACAAATAAGCTGTATGCTCCACTGACAAGCAGTGGCCAGAGTTCCTCTATGTTGGAGTTTGGCTCCTACTGTGTGGGTATATAAAACTCAGTTAAGTGCATGCTGAATAAGCACACAGTGGGAAAATGATGAAAGGGTACAACAGAAACCAATACTGGGAATGGCCACTCAGAGGGAAAACCAACTACGCACTTCTTATTAAGTGCTTGCTTAGCTACATTTTGTCTTTTCAATAATGTCCAGATATTAATTTTTAAATGCAAATCATTTAAAAAAAATCACTGCTTCTCAGCTTTTATTGCTTTCTGTTTACAGGTATGTTATTTCAATATCTAATTTCTATGAGACCAACCATCAAAATACAAAAAAAACCTGAGTAATTCTATGTGCAAGTATTGTGACAGTCGAATGCACAGGCCAGTCATGGAGCCTCTCTCACTGCCGAAAAACATGACCTGGTGTATTTATTTCTGGCATTTACACTCTTCTGTGTCCTCTGGATACAAATTCAGGAGCTTAGGACAGTTTCATACGACTGTATGTGTATCCCAAAGTGTAAAATTTACAGTTGCATCAGACTTATCTCTGGAAGAGTTATTCTTAGAGAAAAAACACATAGGTTAAAAAATACTGTTGTCTTTCATTGTTGCCTAAACAGTTCTCTAAAGCCTGCTCTTATTTTTAGAAATTTCCTAATGATATCTAGAAAAAATAATTCAAAATTAATATGATTTTCCCAACACTGAAAAAGTACAATCAACAAATGCAGAGCTAACAATACACTGAATGAAATGCCTTATCTTACGGAATTTTTATTACAAAATAATTTTTCTTCTTAAAATGTCTCTTATTGAAGTCATATAGTTTGGTCTTGCCCTGGCTCACTCTTGACACGTCTTTGTCTAATAGACAGAAAATGTCCACGAAGGAGAGGTAGTAGTGGAGAGGCAGAGCCGCACAGCAGAAAGGAACAAATGAATGCAGAGTGAAGGCGGCAGGCCATGTGGCAAAGTAGCAGGGGCTTCCTCACCCCTCCCTGTGGCTCCTAACACCGCTGTTCCTTAGGAGTGGGCGCAATGCCATGCTCGCTTTTATTGTTCCACATCTACTCTGAGTTCTTTTGGCACGTGGAAAGGTATTCTGTACATGTTAATATAATTGATGATCTTCATTGTCATCATTTTTGTCATTCTGAGCTGCTTTGGTGCCAGCAAAAGTGCATTCTTTTAAATTGCTATGAGAAGGCTGCCAAGGTGTTTTTGAGAGAATTGCAGCTCATCTGCAATGTAACTAAGCAAGCCATATTTAGGTCTAAGTTACGTTTTGTAGAATTAATTGTATGCTTCACTCATCATTCAATATGGAGCTGAAGGAGGCAGGACACATGACTATTTTATCTTGCAAAGTCAAACACTATCAGCCTTTATTTGTGTAAGAGAGAACTTACATACGGGGGTGTCAAAAATAAGGAACAAGAAGCAACCTTTATAACTGTTACTTTTGTTTGAAATCTTGTAAGGAATGAAAAACCATTTTAACCACATTGTGACTCCTTATCAATTTAGATTTACATTTTACTACTGATTGTGTAGAAAACTTCAACTTCACGAGTCTTACTATTTATACCTTATGTCTGCAATAACTTTGGACACTTAACGTTGATAAAGTTGTCAATAAAGTGATTCCATTGTATTATATATAAATTCTTTTGTGATGTATTTATCAAAACCAAAAGTGACTTACATTTGCTGAAAGTTGAGATGTGAGAGTAGCAACTTTCTCCTGTGATGCAACCAGCTCTCTGCGTAGCTTATGGATTTGCTGAAGGCAATTTAAAAGAACCAATTATCAGTTGATTATTACTTAAAACCCAAACTAAGGATTAAATCCAAGAAAGCAAACACTAGGCTTGGTTCCTTTTACTGAATTGTATCAGTATCAATTCCTAACAATGAGTGATGTGACCTCTAGCTAATGACACTTGCACAGAAAGGAGCCAGTTTCTAACCCTTCTAACAGAAGGCTGCAAATCAAAAGGTTGTGCTGGCTCCATTTGCGACTCACAGGCGATTGACTTCTCTATACAATCTTTCCCCTCTAGAAAACGGTGGTTAAAATTTCAGTTAGAAAAATATTTTTTTAAAAAAATTAAATAGACATCATAGGCATACATTTTCTTGGTCTTTTTAAACAAAAGGTACTCTGAAAATCACATATTTTTTTCCTTTATAAATTTTAATTTTCTATAGTTTGGCAACTTGTCAAATGCTGAGGGATATCCTGTAGTACCTGAAATCTGAGATTAATTCAACATTTAATAAGTTCATATTTGAAAATAATTTTTGTATCAAAAGAGAGTTTTACTTTGTATCCCAGGCTGTTCTGGTACTTGACATCCTGGTATCTTACCCTCTTGAGGGCTGGGGTTATAGGCATGTATCACCATGCCCAGCAGAAAATAGTTTTATAGGATGAGTTTTTAATGATTAATAGGGAAGCCTTCCCAAATATTTATTACAATGTCTTTCACTCAGTGAGCTATTATTACCTCTGAGCAGAAATGCTTTATAGATACCCACAGTTTAGAAATAAGGGGGCTGGGTGCTGGTGGCTCACTCCTGTAATCCTAGCTACTCAAGAAGCAGAGATCAGGGGGATCACAGTTTGAAGCCAGCCTGGGCAAATAGTTCATGAGACCCAATCTCAAAAAACCCACCACAAAAAAGGGTTGGTGGATTGACTCAAGGTGTAGGCCTTGAGTTCAAACCACAGTACCACCAAAAAAAAGGGGGATAACTAATATTATGCAACTATCCAGAGAAAACAACAAAATAAGTATTCTAAAATGGTTTCCTTTTAGTTAAACTCACACTTTAGTAAAACTGGAATACTGAAGATAAGGGAATATCACATCACATTTAAAATTTTAATTTAAGCCCTTCCTGTAGTCTCACCTAAATAGTTCATGTTGCCAGAACTGATAAAGTAAAACACTTACAAACATGTTACAATGGTTCAAATACATTTCTGGTCTCAAGGGATTTCAGTTATTACTTAAGATGGAAAAGTTCTACTTTGATGGTTTTCATTTCTTTAAAAACAAGTGCTCTATTGTTAGAGTTGAACTTCTGGAATGCTGTCTCAGTTTGAAAGAACATTCCAGACATAGTTCATTAACTGTCTCTTTTCTCCCCCTGCACAATACATTTTGTGGAAAAGAAATGGAGGTCGATATTGAAAGACTAAAAACAATGCAAATTCTTAGCGGGAAACAGAGGTAGTGGACATTTATATAATCTCAAATGTGGTTCCATTTCACTTCTGCTTTTAAAACTGGAGTAACCCCAAATAAGAGCTGATTTGAATGGATGTACTGATGATCACCAATAGTTGAACTAAGCAGAACATCTATTCTATTTAATCAATTCAATCTGAAAGAGTCTTCTTCAATTTAATAGTTTCTGTTACATGACTCTAGTTCCTTTAAGATTTAATCCAGGAAACTCAGGCGGGCATAGTGGCACATACCTGGAATCCTAGCACTCAGGAGGTGGAAGCAGAAGGATTGTGAGTTTAAGGCAAGGGTGGGGTAATAGTGAGTTTCAGGACAGCCTGTACTGTATATATCAAGAATCTCTCTCTCTCTCTCTCTCTCTCTCTCATCATCTATCTAATTTATCATCATCTATTATCTACTTATCTAGATCCCAAGAAATTATAAAATAATTAATCTTTTTCAAAACCCCGACTCATTGTAAGGCATGAATGATAAAGGGGAAATTGAATAACTGCCACTAAGGCAAATAGAGGTAGTATTTCTATACTTCTGTAGCTATATTATGATCAACTTTAGAACTTTTGCCATGTCCAAGTGATACAAAGAAAACAGTTTAGGTTTTTAAAAATAAAATTTACTCTTTGATCTAGTGATTATAGTCTGTGTAGTCACTACTTTCTATTTTTGAATATAGCACAAATTTTACTTTAAAAACTGATGAAATATGAGATCAAAAGTAAAGAATTCCTTTGCAAAGGCTATCACCAAGCTGTTTATTTTCTCTGGTCTGATTGCTTGGTGTGAACCTTCTAGGTAGTTATTAGTTCACCTTGAATACAGTCCTAATTAAAGTCCTCCTGCTCTCCTTGGTCAGAACAACTTTTATACAAAGGTAAAAAAAAGAATATTCACTTTAGGTTGCAGTGTGACTTGTATGTGCCTGTAACCAAGTGTGTATTTGTGAAATGTGTGTGCTTGCAACAATATACCACCTTAGACATCAAACAGCGATTACGGTAGCAAGATCATGGCATAAAATCGATGTGCTGTGGTTCTCATACCTGCCTTCTGGAGTCCTTATGCCTCATGCTCAATGTTTCCACTAATCCTATGCAGATGGTCTCACAGGTATGTGAGGGGAGACACTAATAAAATAGATCTGTGTTCTTATTTTAGTCCTTCATTCATTCATCAATGATTTAATGAGTACCTGTTACTAAGGCAATTTATTAGGTATTGAGCCGCAAAAAAATCTAGAATGTGAGAGGAGAGTTTGTTGCTAAAAACTTCCTTTGATTTTCTTTTAAGAGGCAATATCTAAGACTACTGATCAACTAGCTGGGTCACTTCTATCAGCTTCCTGTAGTTCTGCTACTGTATTACAGAGCCCTCTAGTGGCCACAATACTAAACATAAATGAAAACTAAATCAAATGTTAAAATGTTACAGGTTTTTACCTCTGAATGAGCCTTTTCTTCAGCCTGTGAAAGGCAAAAGGAAGAAGAATTTTAACTATAAAAGTAATACCAATTCATTTCATAATATAAATGAGTAAAATAATTGCAAAATGTATTTAAAATGATCCAACATAAGAACAGAGAAAAATACATTAAGATTATTCACTTATAACAGTAAAACAAGGGCATTATAGAACTTAAAATGAACATTACTTTATATATAAAACATGAGGTATTTAAAAGTACAGGTAATTTAATCCATTGTTACATAATATCCTTAAAAGGAAAGGAAAAAATTAAAACACTATGATCCAGACCATAAGCAACAACAAACAAATCACTAACATTAGACGCCAAAAAAAGATGGGTATATGGAAAAATATTTTTTATCTGGATTGTAGAAAATGAAGTCCATGAAAGTATACAGATTTTTAGCCAAGACAGGAGCAAAATTTTTATCCTGTGATTTACATACACAACTGCAAGATAAAGCTGGGGGAAAATATTGACTCCTATTGATAATAACAGAAAATAGAGCTGTTAGTTTTTATTTTCTTCAATTTTCCTTAATGACTATTAGTGAGATTTACTGGGATGTCAGCTGATAAAACACCAAGATATCCAGTGTTAAGGTGGTAACAGTAGTGGCTGCCAAAAGACTTTGGCTCTGTAGGAACTTCCCTTAAGGAAACCCCCTAGCTCTGTTTATATCTATCTATATCTATATCTATCTATCTATCTATCTATCTATCTATCTATCTATCTATCTATCTAGGTATGTTTCACTTCATGCTAGACTGCAAAATGCCAGAAAGTGAGTTATATGCAGCATGACATTTGGGAAGCTCCCTCATTCTGAAAAAAAATGGAGAAGGCATACTATTGCTAAACAGTGTGAGTCTGCTAGTTGCTGTAAGCAAAAAAAAAATGCTGAAAAACAATCTCTTCTCTCCTATTGCTACTTTGGGGATATTTTCTGATTAACTGATACAAAACTACCTGAAATGGTTTTGGTATCTTTTCCTTCAGCAAACATTAGAAAAGCTAACATACTATCAGAATATACTTTATGCAAAAGCATCTCTTTTGCCGTGAGTATTGTCTTTCCTGTATTTTCTCTATCTTTAATAAATGTCAAATTTGTAAAACATTGTTTAAATAATAAAGTGGTTAAGTGAAATTTTAATAGTCTTTATAAGAAAACTGGATTCAAAAGCATTGCTGACATAAATCTGGATTCTTTTACATGTCATGTTTAGCATTTCAAGTGAAAATTTTCTAATTTTAATAATTTCAAGGTTTCATATACAGTTTGATTTCTGAATCAGAAGTAAGCAATGAATCTTAAGTTAAATTTTTCATTGCCATAAGTCACAATGGTATAGTTTACTATGGTTATTAGTTTTTCCTAGTATTTTGTACATTTATTGCTGGCTTATCCCGGTCACATTCTGCTTTTCATCTTGCTAGGATTATAAAACAAACTTGCAAAGAGTCAATAAATAATTCATGTATCGGAAAAAATAGATTTCCTTGGCTTGTAAGAAAGAAATATCCTCAACACAGTTTTCATTAAAATAGCCTCACGTTACATGAATTCATGGCAAGCCATGACCATCGCACACTGATTCTATGTATACTCTTTCTCATAAGCATGACTTTTCTCACTGATGATTTTTCAAAGCTATCTTTTCCTTTAATCCTTGCCTTTTCTTCATACTCTGTGGTTATTAATACCAGGAAGTCATAAAGTTGAAGCAATGGACCAAAATATTAATATTATATTTTTGCCAATGGCTTAAGTATGGGATTAATGGTATCAGGATAGAATTTTATTACTTGTCATTTTTTAAAGATGGTTTTGAAGCAAGACCAACATTCTGAAGGATGGTAAACAATATTAAACACCTTACCTAAATAAAAATATTTATCAGGCGATTTTCATTCTGTAGGTCATTTAAACTTACTGGGTAAAAATTATTTCTTTAGCATCATCTATGTGTTAAATAATATGCTGGGAGGGTGAATAATGAATCAAACCTGGCCCTTGGTCTCATGAAATCAATATAAATCAGAATACACATACAGAACTAGTCTAATAAAGATTTAATATACAGTCAGTCAAAATAAGTATTGCTGGGATCAAAAATTTAAAGCCCAACAGAATCCCACATATAAAGAATAAAAAAGGATCTGAGAATTGACAAAAGGGCAGTTACATAGCTTTCCTAGGCTTTTATTTTCATATTTTTAATAAAGATATTCATACTAAGGATTGTTTTTCTCCTATGAGAAATGCAACAACTATGACAACTGGCAACAAACTTAGCTTCAGTGTGAGGTAGAAAAGAGGAGGTGGTGGAGGCTTGGCTTGCCTGAGAGTACAGCCTGTATCTCAGGGGGACTGGGACTGTGGAAGAATGTTATATCAGTGCTGTTAGATATCTCAATTATTTTTTAAAAAATTTAGAGATTTGAATTTTTGTGTAAAAGCTTCAGATCTCACAGTTTGGGCTTGGATTTAAAAACAAACACACTATCTCCAAGTTTTCCAAAAGTAAGTCCTTGGCAGATCAGACTGGGCTCTGTGATTTTCAACCAGGTTGCAGCGATCCCATGGGCAGATGGGGTAGATCTGGATAACGTTCCCCTATTTTACTTTATAGGAACAATCCAACGCAATGTGGAAACTTGCCCAATGTACAGAATAATTACTGGCTGAACCAGACTGAACAAGAATGCAATCACCTAATCTTCATTCAGAGTCCTTGGAAAAGCAGGAAAAAAATAAATTGCTTTTTCACTTCATAGTTTGAACAGGACTTACACCTTTTCTTCCTACCAATTTAATCTCTGGGCCTGATCATAAGGATCGGGGACACAATGACGCTTCCTGCTCTTTGATTTTTCTCTCTATTAGTCCTCCGAATACCCATTTATTTGAATTCTCTTACTACAGGTTACTGTGAATAAAAGTAAATAATTTCCATCATTTCTTTTAATTTTTATCATTTTCAAAACAATTAGCAGTTAATTTAATGATTAGCTTTTAAATAGTATCAGTTTTTTAATGTAGTTTGATCACTTAACCTGTTTTCTCACATGTAAAGCAAGGGTCCTATTTCACTCTGTTGGCCTACACACATGTACACAAGCTTTAATTTAATCTCTGTTTAGTACTTATATTATGCTCTTGATGCTTCTCATTTATGCTATTAATTATCTTCATTGTTTGCACATCTTGCTCTTCCTACAATTTTTTTAAAAATTTATTTTATTTTATTACTTTTTATTTTTAATTGACATATTAATTATACATATTAATGGAATTCAATGTGAAGTTTCTAAATATGAATACAGTGTGCATTCATCAAATTCAACCTCCCTTTATGCACTTGTCTATAGTTTTTAAAATGCAACCCCTTTGCTTCTAATAAATCTCAACCATGCAGTCAAGTAGTCACTAGGCACATGGGTTTATTTAAATTGAGATTAATTAAAATTAAAAAAATCAGGTCCTCTGTCACACTAGACATATTTCAAATAATCAATAGCAACCTGAGGCTAGCAGTTACTGTATTAGCCAGTGCAGACATAGGAAATTTTTATTATTATAGAAAGGTCTATTAGAGAGTCATCAAGTCTATTAATCAGTCATCAAGTTGTTTCTCAAACCCATGCTTTTTTTCCTCTCAAGTTTTCTTTAGGCTTCATAAGACCAGTTTTATTTAAATATTATTATTGTATTTATTTAAAATGTGATTATAATGATGCTGATTTTTGTATACAGGAAATTGCAATGGTTTACATCAGAATATTTCCTCAACAACTCAGCAAGTGGCAGTACTTCCCCAATATGAGGAACACTGAGTCTTAATATATTTCTGTTATGTATTCTTCAAATATTTTCACATTCCTTACTTCTTTAGCCAATAACCAAACACAGCAGATTCATCTAAACAGTAACAGTGATATCATTTACAGATTTGTTAGCAATTTTTATCATTAAAAGGAGAAATAAGAAAAATGTTGGATCTGCAATGATAGTCTTACCTTGAATGATAAATCTAAAGCCATAAATATATAAGATTAACTTATAAACAAAAGACTACAACATTTAAAACTCATAAAAATGAGTGGAAAATTAGTATTGTCCTTAATGTTTAATTGTTAGGTGACAGCTGAAGGCTGTGAACTTTTCAATACAGGATAAAGGATTACCCATAGTATTGAAGACTCACTGAGATTCATTCAACTGTTATCTCACTGTTACCTAGGCAAGAGGAAGACTTCTTATAAAACATAACTTTCTGTAGGATATTTTTACAAAAAGGTGAAATTACATTTAATGAACAGAAAAACTCATTTTGGCAAAAAATACACTATAATTTCACATATTGGGAAAAGAAGTTAATAGATTGGTATTCCAACAAGGCTTTTAAATTTAAATTCTTTCAAAAGATGTATTTAAAAAATATTCAGTTCCTGTAGGCTTTTATCCAAAGGTAATGCAATAGAGAATGTCTATCACTAAAAAAAAAACGTGGAGAAAATACTACAGAATAATTAATAGCTTTGAGTCAAGGAAATAAATCTTAGTAGAGCACAGTACATATTTCCTGGGATTCCAAGTCACACTCCAAAAAGTTTTTTGAAATTCAGATTTACATTCACTCATTTGCATAAAGAATGCACAAAAGTCAACTGAAAACACATAGAAGTGTGCCACAGAAAGGCTGGGTGTATAGTGAGAGTATACCCTTATTTTGCTGCATCATTTCTGTGCAGATGTCATCCCATTGGCTTTCTGTGCGCATGGCACAGGCAGAAACTTTTTCTTAACAGTCAATACGTACCGTAGAGTAAAGAGAAGAAGTGCTGGAGACCAATGATAATGAAGAACCATGAACTGGAGAAAACAAGAACAGAATTAAAAACGTCCACTCACAAACTTGAAGTCTCTGCTGAAATAGTGAAGAACAGGTGGCTAGGGAAATAAATTAATGACAGCTCTTTTCAAGATTATGAGAACAAGTTTGCTATAAATTTTTGGAGATGAGGATGTTGAGGCATGAAAAGGCCCCATTCATATTCCCTAAAGTCCCTCATTCACCATGTTACAGAGAGGAGTTGACAAGGTAAGTGCTACAAGCTTATTTTTCACATATTGCAAGCTATAGAAAATTTATGTATATTAAAAAATTCATGGAAACCCAAGTTAAAGTTGCCATAAACTTTAAAACCAAAAATCTTTGCAGATGTTATTCGCTTAATTTCATTTTATACAACAAAGATCCATTTTCAGAATTTTTCTCTGAACACTTTCAGGGAAGTAAAAACTTTACCAACTTTTTCAACATTGTTTCTGATGAGTTGATTGTGTTCTTTTAAATGTAGAATTATTGTTTCTTTTGAAATTTTAGTTATGTGAAAATACTATTTCAAGATGGTATGTCACAAAAGTTAAGATGGAAATTTCACCTAGTCTCTTACACAGGTATATGAAATAAAATACTATTTTCAATTAAACATCTGCTTTACATTTCTGTACTTTAAATGCATTAACCCAGTACGTGCATAAAATAGTGCTTAAATATATTTGTGAAACAGTTCTTCCTCTTTACTTTATGGAATAACACAGTTATTTCTCCTACCTAACTCATCCCTTAAACCAATATTATTTGAACACATGCAATGTGGCAGGCTCCTGCTACAACCTCGGACTAGAAAAGGCGTGATACAGGACCTTAGATGCACACCAAGAAGTAGAAAGACAAATTAAAAAGACTATGGCAACAGAGTAACATAAATGTTATTGAGATGAATGCACTGGGTTCTACAAGAACACATGGAGGTGTTTACAACCCAGTCTGGAGAAGGCTGGAAAAGCTGCCTTATAACAAGGCTGATTTGAGAGATACCAAGAAGAACCTTTGTAAAAGTGATTAAGTACATGGATGTTGGTCAAAATAAGGATGAAGAACAATCCCCAGATTTCTAACTTGGGCAAATACTACCATTCCATGAGATGTGCAAAATAATAATCTTTGAGTCAATTGATTTTTTTCAAAAAGTCCATTTTTCAACTGGTAATAACTTTTCTATGAGGTTGAAGGACTGTTAGGAGTATAGACTGGTATACCAGAAAAAGAGTAGACACTGAATCAGAAGATCACACTTTTATTCATTGTGTGTCTATTATTTATAGGTCTATGATCTTACAGCTTGTGGCTTAGTTTCTTCATCTGCCAGGGTGAGCACTGAGCAAGATATCAATAAAGTCCCCTTAATTTAGTTCAATGATCTGTTAATTCTAGATCACAATTTAGGAAGAATGATAGTTCAATAGTCAAAGCATGAGCATCAAAAAGTCACCTCTCCCACTCAGGCTGGCTTTCAGCAATTTAGGTTATCTAAGCCTCATCACGGGAGGCTAGCCTTTCCCATCATATAAACATTGTTCTACCTGTAAATGAGGCACTCTAGAAAGCCATCCACATGTTTAGCTTGCCTGTGTGCAAGAGCACACCAAAACCATTTTAGAAAGGCAATGCCCTTATGTTTCAGATTAGTTATATTTTTCCTATAACACTGCGCCAATCAATAGATTCCCAGTGTGTAATTCCCGACCTGGCACTGTGGACTCGGTGCTTTGGTTAATATCTTAAAAGGGAGATACAATGGTGGTCAATTCATTAAATGCCAGCTAAGTGCCAATACATTAAATGTATGCGGGTGACCTGAAAACCATGTGCTCATGTTCACAGCTGCCTAAACTTGTAGCCACAAGATCCTTTAAACAAGGGAATGAGGAAAGAGAAAGGAAGCACAACTATTCTTGATTCTCATTTCAAACTTACACCATTAAGAGAAGCAGAAACTAGGGCTAATAAAGTTAAGAAACTTGTCCAAGTTCATACCAGAATTTGTGTGTTTCAAGATCTGTAGTCTTTTCTTGAATGCAGTTATTAGGGATTAGGATAGCATGGCTGCTTTCATGACTGATTTATTTCTAATCATTCGATTTTCTGTGTTTAATTTTATTTTCTCCTTACCGGACATGCTTTATTATGTTTTTGTCATATTCTTCCTTCCACAGCTGGGTGTGGTGGCTTATATCTGTAATTCTAGCCACTCTTAAGGTAGAGATTGGGCAGATCATGGTTTGAGGCTAGTCTGGGCAAAGAGTTGTAAGACTCCATTTCATTCAACAAGCTGTAGTGGTGCACACTGTGGTCCCAGTCACATGGGAAGCCTAGGAATGAGGATCTCAGTCCAGTCAGAGACCAGCTCTAGGCAAGAATGCTAGGCTCTACCTGAAAAATAACTCAAGCAAAAAAAGGGCTGGGGGCATCCCTCAAATGGTAGAGCACCTGCCTAGAAAGCATGAGGGGCTGAGTTCAAACCTAGTACCTCCCAAAACCCCCAAACAAACAAACAAAAAACATTCATTAAATTAAAAGAAAAAAACCTCTGAAATTATTATGATAGCAAGTTTAACATAATATTTACATTTTAATATTTATGAAGCTTCTTGTGCTTTTTGAATAGATTTATTTAAAGTATTAGCATATAACTACACAATGAAGGACATTTACTAGGTCAGGTAGGAACTGCATTGCCATTAGATACAAATGTGACTTATAAAGCAAAATGTGGGTACAATATGAACTCTAAAATATGATATAAAAAAAACTGGAGCCAAAAGGAGTTTCCAAGAATAAAAGCAACATATGAAAGTTGCCTACTTTTTATAGTTTGTGTATCTATGGTTCTTTAATTGAGGTGTCAAACAAAACATATGCTTTATTATTTTATTATTTAACACATTTGGGCTATTGTCTCTAAAAATCTGTGTATGGCTGTATGAGAACCTTGGATATATTCCAAACTGTTCTACAGACAAGCAATAATATATACATATATATATATATATGTATATATATCAACTTCCAGAATTTTCCCAAATGCATAAAGGAACAGAAGGTAATGAAGAAGAAAACATCTTCAAGCTTCAATGAGAATTATACTTGTTCATTTATTTCCTCTTTAGGAATCCTTGTGTTGTGAATAATGGGATAGTTTTCCTCTCAGAATTAAGTAAAATAAATTTCATCTTTATTCTAGTTTGCCCCCATGCTTACCTTCTTCCATGCTGTCTCTGAATGAGCCTGAATGACTGATGGCACGTGGCCTTTCCTCCAGAGAAGTGGCACTCCCACAGAGTTGGGAATCATCGTAGAGATCAAAAGAAGAGTCTTGGGCTGGGATGCTGTTTGAGCGCATCATGCTGGGTCCAGGGAGGTTAAACTGAGATAGATTGGTTGGACTTACTGAAAAATAAAGCACACATGTTTGTTACTCTGGGGCTTGGACAATGAAAAAGTAAGCTGAAAGAAAGTAGAAAGGGTCCCAACTCTTACAGAAACATGAATTTATAGGCTATTCTAAGAAGGTCAAGATTCTGCTTGTGGAACATCAGTAACAGCTACCTTCTGACGTTTTCATGGCAAGCAATATGCCAATTTCTAAAGCAATAGTGAAAAAATCACTGCCACTCTTCATACCAGGACCACAATAACATGGCATTTTTTGTTAACAGGCACAAATTAAAGATTGCCTTTCTAGAGGCTTCAGGTTTCTTTTTACAAAGTAATCATTATTTTAATGGGAAATGCAAAATGGAAAAAAAAAAGCAAAATACAAAAACATCTATTTTTCCCTAGAAGAGCCCTTAGATGATTTCAGGCAAAGACTCTGTCATTCTGAGTTATGAATTTACATAAGTTCATGGATAGTAACCTCATTATTATCAGAGTTAGGTCAGAAATAGCAAGAGTAAAAAAAAAACTTTCTTTAAACCAAATAGAATGGAATGCATGTGGTGGAGATATCTTGCAATAAAGTGAGTATAGAAAGCTATTTCCTCTGAGTCTAAGACGGGAATATGAGGGACTGCTAAACATCATAAGCATTTTGTATTTCAAAAGATGTGCCTTAAGTGTGCAATGTGAAATGAGAATTTGTTTATTGTCTATTGCCATACAGTTCTCATGGCATTCAACCTTTTAGGTCATAGGAAAATTATCAACTTAAAGAAAGTTGTACTGTTGTTTTGGGGAACATTATAGTTTTAAAATTTGGAATAAAATTTCAGCAGAAACGAGAAATATATTTATCATAAGTTATAAATTTCTCACATTTAAGAGAAAGCAAGTTTGTAACTGGTATATGGGGAAATGGGCTGGAATCTCTTCAGCTGGAAGAGGAACTACTGAGTAGTTTCAGAACCATGGGGAATGCATGTCACTGGCCTGGAAATGATTTTTCAAAACTTGCTATATATTCTTCTTTGAAATTGGCACTACATTTCTTCTTAATATAATTACTGGTTCTTACAATAAGGTAAGAACAGTGTATCCTGAGGTACTAGAAGGGAAGTATCTCCTGTTTGCCAGGTACCAGGCTTAATATGTTACAGGTATTATCTGAATCACTGTAAAAAAAGTCTTCTGGTTGACCCAGTTATGGATTAGAATAAAAAGAAATGTAGGACTGAGAACTACCTCTATGTGTACAAATGAGAAATATAATGAAAAAAGAAAGAAAGTATGGATGTGAAAAGTATATAACCCATTGAAAGGAAAGAAGAAAAATAGAGAGAAGAAAAAAGAAAGAAAAGAATGAGAAAAGAAGGAAGAGAGAGAGAATTTTTCAGTAGTTCAGTATGATTACTGATAACAGAGAACAGACATCTGAGACTTAAATATCTATATTTAAGGAATTTGTTTGGGGTAAATCACCCTATTTTAGATCTATAATATGAATTAACTCTTGCAAAATGAATGAAGCTTTCAACATATTTACAAGTGAGTAATTTAATATATGCATCTAGAGGTCAGGACATTTTGCTCACTGTTTAGATTTGCATAACTGTTACTAAAATAATTGCAGAGGTATCCAAGTGAAGTGTCTTTTTATAATTTTAAAACATAGCACTTAACTCACTCAAGGTGAAATGTTAACAAGGCTTATAGTAGACTTTAAAAGGAATGGTTCCGTTTATAAAGTCTTGACAATTTTTGCAGTAGAAATATACCCGTACTACTTAAGAATGTTCAATTAAGTTATTATAGTTGACATATCTGCTTTTTGTAGATGAATAGAAAAATAAATATGACATGGTACCTGACTTTAAGAGGGGTTACTGGGGACATTATTGAAAGGCAAAAATTTTAATAATATACAAAATATATCAAGAAAAGTTATATAACAGAAGACAAAAATGACATAAAAGAATTTTTGCAGTGGTTTTGTTTTCTTCTGTTTCAGTCAAATATCTAAATTTCTATCCTTCAGTTTCTTCATGAATAAGAAAATAACTAAAAATAATGGCACAATAACTGACCTCTAATATTCACTAAGCTGGGAGACACAGAAGAATTTCTAGACAAGAAAATGACAGACATAGTAATCTATTAGGGAAAAGAATACTACTGACCTTGTCTTAAATTGACTTGTGCATATTAAAGCTACTTTTTAGGGATTTGTACATGCTAAGCAGATGCTATACCACTTGAGCCATGTCCCCAGCTTTTTTTGCTTTCATCATTTTTCCAATAGGGTCTTGCTTTTATACTCAGTTGGCCTGCATCATGATTGTCCTATTTGTGCTTCTCCAATGACAGGTGTGCCCTATGGGGCTATCCATTGGTTGAGTTGGGGGGGTCTCTCTAACTTTGCCAAGACTGGATTCCAACCATGATCCTCTCAATCTCCTTCTCCTGGGTATCTAAGAATTTCATTCTTGGCCAAAACTATTTTATTAAGATTATGTGTTTATTTGTGGTGATTTAAGAAGAACAGAAACTGAGGGAAGAGTAGATCTTGCCTTCTGTACCTTTGCTTCTATAGCTACATATTAACTAATGAGTTTGATATTGTTTTAAGTAAGAAAATATTGTCATACAGAATCTAATTTTAATCTAGTTTTTGGGACATTGAACCTGATATGGATCTCTTTGAACTGTGAGATTCTATGTTTCCATGAATAGAGAAGAAAAGAGGTCCATTCTGAATAGGTTGAAGGGCAGACATGGAGAGGAAATAGGAACATATTCAAGGTGAAAGGATGCTTGAGAGCAAAAGGACAGAAATTGTTCCCATACAAAGATGTTTAACAATTACATCTTATGCATGAGATCCACCAAATATACAGAACTGGAAAGGACAGGTTGATGTTAATGATTATGCATGATAACTCTTGAGACAAGGGGAAAAATGAATCTAAGCAACTGTTGTTACTCATGGGAACATAACAAGTCTTGCCAGGTTACAAGATACCTCACAAGAACTATAACCAACACAAAAAGAAGTTTCTTCCAAAGACTTACTCTATTTACATAGGTTACATTCTAATGTTCTTTCTTGAGTGGAAATGGTTTCTACTAATAGCTTGCATCTGGGAAACTACATAAAAATCATACCTGAACAGTGGCTCACAGTAATCTATTGAAAATGAAATAATTTTATTGATCTTAACTTTTTAGTGTTATATTTTATTTATATAGTAGTATTTCTAAAATTTTTACCACTTAATGCATTTTAATTGATAGAAAGGGAAGATTAAGAAAATATGGAAGTTGGGCATGATGGCATATGCCTGTAATCCCAGTTCTTGGGAGGCTGAGGCAGGAATATGGAGAGTTTGAGGCCAACCTGTGCTACATAATAAACTCATAGTGAGTTTCCATAATGGAAACTTAGTGAGACTCTGCCTAAAAAAAAAAGAAAAGAAAGCATGAATACTGCAACCTATTGAATGTCAATAATAATCATCTTACTGATCATTAAGAAAAGTTAATGATCCAATTGAAAATGTGCTATCCAAAGACAAATGTAGGATAATATTGTACATATTCAAATTATATTTTACATATTTATAAAAACATAATAATAATTTTAATTAATGATTGTATATTAATAGTACTCAGTTTCTTTCCTAATAAATATACATTCAATTGATCTGGAAGTAGTAATCAATACTATTTAAAAATTATTTTCATGTCTTGAAAATGAATCATATTTTTCCTTTGTAAAATAAGACTGATTTAAAGCCACATAAATTTATAAAATCTGAATAGGCACATGAGAGTATGCTGGGATGGACAGAAAGATCTTTATCCGTAAATCTCAGTGGTGGAATGTTGAGAAACATGGGAGTGGAGGCAGTGAGATCAATTTGAAATCTATTGCAATTGTCTAGAGTCAACCAAAAAAGCTGGAAAAAGACTTATGCCATTGAAAAATAAAGATGGATAGAGTATCTTTACTTAAAGATGAAATTTGCAGGATTTGATCAGTTGGGTATGTACAACATGAAAAGGCAGACGATGTTTTGAGTAAGATTGCTGATTATACTGTTATTTTGCACTGGAGTAGTTGAAGAAGGGCAATGCGTGAAACTCTAAGGTAAACTGGAGAAAGAACTGTGAAAAGACGTAGAAATTAGGCAGAAATGTGGTCTGACACATGACGGGGTTTTAGTTTTACAGTTTCAGAAGGTATGAGTGAAAGAAGAATGTTGATTTCAGAGGTAAAAAACAAAGTTACTGATGAAAACATAGAAAGTGTCTAGTCTGAGAAAAACTGTGAAGGAACTTACTACACACATAAATATGAAGATGAAGGATGAATTGCATTGTCCACAGTTTATATCTAAAGCTTGGAACAACTGTTACTATGCATTGTCCACAGTTTATATCTAAAGCTTGGAACAACTGTTACTATCAAAAGTAACCTTGCTTCTCCAACAAGATGAGCCTTCTTGGGAAAAAGAATTGTAGTTGGAAAAATACGAAGAGAATTGAAAGGGTGGTGTCACTGAAGACAAGGCCTTGAGTGTTGCTAGGGACATATGTCAGCACTGTCTGACACTGATGGCTAGTTTCTGGTAGAAAACATGGTGGGCTAAAGTGAGGGGAGAGTCACATCCCAGAAAGGTAAACCTGACCTTTTGAATTTTTGGTTTCGATAGCAATGAAAAATAAAGCATGTATTTGATCAGTAGTTTGCAAATTAAAGTCATTAGGACAGTAAAGTTCTTGAGATGGTTTGTTATCAGTAAAAGCATAATTCACACTTCATATTCATTGTCTTTCAACTCTTTGAACGCTATGTAATCAAATGTGTTCTCAAGTGTGTTATGTATCATTTTTGACACATTTGTGGTTATAGATATTTTGGCTTCAGCTAACATGTTAACTTCAATTTATGAAAACATGGAATAAACTTTTTTCTCTGCAAATATTTGACATTTTTGGTAAATGAGGCCTTGATTCAAATGACATAGTACTATACCAGTCTTTCTAAGTTCTAACCTCTGATTTTCCTTCACATTAAATTGTATAGTAACTATCTGGTAAATTATACCCAATGAAATGTATTCAAAGCTGAGGAATATCCAATGAGTGCTGCTCTCTTATGTGTAAAACATGCTTTAGAATGAAAATGATTCTCTATTGGTCTGTCAAGTCTTATAACTGCTGTACATCATAAATCAGTCATTCTTCATGATCTGACCAAGATATTATGTAACTATTCAACAGATGAGAAAATTGAGGTTCAGTGACTTCACCAACATCAGGCATACTAAATGTTGATGTGTTTATTTTTTTCATCAAAGAATAATGGTATGAATGCATTTAATCTGAATAATGACAGGAGGAAAATGGCATAAGGTTTCAACTAATCAAATTAATATCAATTAATGAAAAAAATGATAGAAGACATGAGGTACTTAGTAAACCTATAGCATGTAGGGTGATTTGGGCTTATTTCAAATGTTACATGAAATGAGACTTTGTTTCATATTGCTATGACCCAACAAAAACATTTTCAATTCATTTTTTCAGAGTTAAAAAAGTTAGGAATTTTGCCTTATTTTATAAATTATGTCTCAAGATAAATAAACCTATATGTTCTTTAGCATTATGGGGCAAGGAAATCTCATCACTGTGTAGGCTTAGCAACAAAAACTCAGTGTTGGGAAAAATTCATTAGCTCAAGGGATGGTGGTGTCTCAGGAGGCAGAGCACCTATCCAGCAAGCACAAGGGTCTGGTTCAAACCCAGTGCACCAAAAAAAAAATGCATTAGCTTATATGGACAAAGTAATTGCTTTTAGTTGCTAAAAGCCCTACTTGGTGTTATAAAAGAAAAGAAATAGCCTCGATACCTGTTGGACTCGTGGTTGAAAAGTCTAAAAGGCCTATCTGTGGGGATATTATTAGGAAGAGTTTTTCTCAAGTGAAAAGAGAAAAAATGAGGCTATTCTACTTTCTATGTGGTTTTATAGAAAACTATAGTTTTAAAACCATTGGATCTATTAAATGGTAACTGGCATATCAGACCTCTTTTATATTTTCTTACTCTTCCCTGTGTTTCCATCCTATTTATGCAAATGACTCCTTTTCACACAAATGAAGCTAGGTATAAAGTAACCCCATGGCTAAGATAGTAATTGATTTTTTCATTGTGTTTGTCTAAAAACGTTCACAGGGTATAGTCTTAACAAAAATACTTACATGAATTTTAAGGACAGTTTTAGTTTTAATAATGTCAAAAGAAGTTATATTATAGCTATAGAAGTGCATATTGTTTTCAATCTAATTATTTCTCCTTCCTATTTCTCTATAAAAAGATTATTAATTTTCTTACAAGGAAGTTTTAACACTTTAAAAAAATTAGGAGGCATTTTCCTGATTTTACAGAGGATTTTAAGGAAGAATGGAAAGATTACTGGACTTAAAATCAGGAGCTCAGGAACTGATACCTGTTTCGGCTCCTTACTAATAGGTGACACTTTTTTTCAAGTCAAATGACCTCTCTAAGCTTCTGGAGCCCAGATCACAAAACCAATAACAGTATCATCTGAGTTAAGAATTTGTCATGTACAATAACAATACAATGTTTAGAAGTTATTCTAAACCCCCATACAAATATCTTTATGGAGAGATACCAGGGTTCTTACGAAGAGTGGGTAGTAAAAGAAACAAAACAGAATCTATGTTGTAAAATATATTACCCAAGTTAGAAAAGTGGTATTTTCCTGTGGCAGAAGATGACATGGCAGAAGGGGAGACCAGAGGCGACCGGTTGCCAGTATCCTGCAGCCCTCCAGTGGAATGAGAACGCAACCACTCTTTGCCTTCTTCGTGGTTGGCCTGCCGAGATGATGGGGTATATCTGCAAGACAGCACAGCTGAGACACTTAAGCAAATCTACAATGGCAAGGGAATACCAAGACAAGAAAACAATTGAGAGGAGTTTACTATTCAGACTGAACAACAATCTCAAACAGATTGAATCTAATTAGAATTGCTCAGTTCTTCCAGATGATTTGACACCATCTGTTGAAATCCCACAGGAAAAAAAAAATAAGCATTTGAGAAGAAAATTATGCTTCTGTGAGATATGGAGTTGAACATCATAAGCAATGAGCAGACTGCCAAATTAACTGAGATGGACCAAAAACACAGATTGGAAGGATGTGAAGAAGGTGAAAACAGACTAAGCATGGTGGACAGTGATAGGTCAGAAGCCAGAGAAGTGGAGTAAAGGTCACAGAAAAGCATGGAAAATGGAATACAAATTGACACCTAGTTCTTCTCTTAAAGGCAAAAACAGATCTTTGGTTAAAATGCCACTTGACGATATGTCTGGATTTTTTAAAAAAGGAGGGAGGAATGTACTAACTATTGGAAAATAAATTTCTTAAAATATTGACATGGAAGCAATTGTCAGCTCTTTGACACTATTGCTAAAAAACTGGAGAGAAAAAAGATAACTAGGAAAGACCTAGTTAGGCTAATACTCAGTGTTTCACCACAGTAATTAAATTCTTAGCACCAAAGAGCAGTCAGACTATCAGGTTCATAGTGTTATGCCACTCTTAGTAGTTTGTTCATTATCTCTTCATGAGACAAAAGCATGCAGGAATGAATTATGACCATGAATTAAATTTTCATTTTTTATTATGAACTAAATAATTATTTTGAGATTAAGTGATATTAAATTAATTCAGGTTTAATTTGATCTTATAGATACCAGCATCCCTGAAAAATAGAATTTAAGACTCTAAGTATTTATTAAAAGGATTTTGTAAAAATCATATCCTTAATTATATTACTTGTCCTGAGATGATGAAAGTATGATTTCTTTGATTTAAATTAGAGTATACTTCAACTTTTCATCATTATTGGCCACATGTATAGACTAAATAGGTTTTGAGGTTTTGCAAGCATGTGCCTCCAAGATGCAAAAGTTAGGGTAATAATTTTATTGTAACTTGTAAGAAGCAAATTCTGCATTCTAACAAAAGTTACCACGAACCTCCCCCCACCAAAATACAAGGTGCTAGACAAGTTCTTTGAGATTTACTTCAAAATAGTGGTATTTATAGTGGGACAGAGTCGCCACCTCAATCTCAGCTAGCATCTCTTCCTAAGGATCATTCACCAACTCTTTCAGTCAGAGAAAGCATCAAGATTAAAAGTGGTTTCATGTTCGACATCGGGTGCTACATTGCAAACAAACAAAGAGGAAAAGAGACAGCACACAAAGTTTACATAACAACAGAAAAAAGGTAGCAATTTTGCTGAGAGAAATATATACCTTAGTCCCTTTTTGGGTAGTGTATTTCTGTCAAGCTGCATGCTGTTAAAACAAAGAAAATCCCTAAGGACATAATGTAAACAAAACTTTCAAATTACACAACTAACAAAAATGATTCTCTGAACTACACAAAATAACTTTAGGGTAATATATACATATATATATGTAGATAGATAAATATATGTATATATATATATATATACATATGTGTATATATATATATATATAAAATTGCTTCACTCATTGGAGAAGACCAACTAAGGGTGATGTGATGCTCATTGCTGTAACACATGTTCATGATAATTTGGTGACCAAATTAGAAAGATTAAATCCTATGTTAGCATAATTGCTCCCTGGATTGTATTCACCTAATGTAACAGAAGTTTTCCATTCTCTTTGCAACTGACCGGAATTTTGTCTTGACTCAACTTGCAGGAGAATCATAGAAATGCAATGAGGTAGGCACACTCTAAGTTAGATTGATGTGTTCCATGATGAGAAAGGAGGAAAGGCACTATTTAATACTTAGTTTTTATCTTCAAATTATTTTTAATAAAAATAGAGGTAGATTTATTCTCCATCTACATACAAGAGAAGAAACACATTATAAAAAGAGTATTATCTTAAAACAATGTTTCTGGTATGATTTACTTAAATATTTTAATGAAGTTAACCTATTCTACCTTATAGAAATCAATTGGGTATTTTAAGAGCTATAAACTTTATCATCTTTATTTTAAAGTATTCTCAGTTGGTCATAGATAGGGATGAAAAGATGTGTCTAGATAAAAGAGAAGTGACCTCTCTAAAAATAGAGGAAAAGAGGAGTCAACAACTAATTGGGACAAGCCAAAAGACCGTGGCATGTGGATAAGAAAAGGAAAATTAACTTGAATCTGCAAAATTATTGTCTCTCTATTTGGAACCTCAAATGATAAAAAATAAATACACAACATATGCATAATGTGGATGACACAACATGAATGCAAACACATTGACTTAAAATTTAATCACGCAAAATCAAAGCTAAAATGTTTTCTTCTGTATGTACTCCATTAGTTAGCACTATAATGGATAGAAGTCAAAGGCCTTACACAACTTTATTAGGAAGGTCTACATAAGGTAGTTGAATATTAAACAGAGACCAGCTTTGATACATATATTGACTATAGAATCTTCTTTGTAGTGTGGATAAACAAACATTAGGAATCACATTGAACAAATATGAGAAATCTCTAAAATATGAACTACATTATGCTAAAGTATTTATGCGGTCATAAGCCATTTTGAGCATTATCTCATGTGGGCAAATTAATGTTTAACATTGTAAAGAAAAATTTTAAACATTGGTATTCTTTTACCACTATGATCTGGTGGTATAAGAATTATATATCACAGAGGATTTTAATGAAAAGATATCATAAAAAGTACACTTAAATTTATCAATGTAATTTAAAGCTTTACATAGAACTACCTGTTTCACTCTGGATTTTAATAATTTTTATAATGTAGGCCTTTCTACAAGCCCTCACGGGTTGCCAACTCCTATGTCGGCAAGGACCAAGGAGGTAGTAACAAGAAGCAAATTGGGGATTTTAATCCAGACATGTGTATCTATAGCCAATAGTTGTTATGCAGAAAGATAAAAGCAAAGTTTTCAGATTTTACATTTAATGACAAACCAGAAAATTTCAAAGTTAGTTACTACTTTAAATTATATTAAAAAAATTGGTTAGGTCCCTAAAGTAGAACAAAACAAAACAAATGTGGACTAGTTATGACTCAAGGACCATCACTGATCTAGAGTCTACTTCAAGGGAAAACTAAAAAATGCATTGTATTATTTATTATTTTATTTCATTATTTTGGTGAAGAACTTAAAGAAAAATTAAAATGAATATGAAAATCCACAATAGTATGTAGATAATAGTATGGGGATATGAATATAAAGTATTCTAAGGTAAGCCATGAATATATCTCTACTACTACTATGTTTCTCTAATTAGTTTGCTTTAAATACTTAAATTTTAGTATACTTTCTTTGATATGTGGTTCTGTAGTTTCTTTAGCATTCCCAATAATCTTCTGACCAATTAAGCATAATTAAGCCAGGATCACCTATTACATCTATTTTCTCTTTAATAGATTAAAAACATCTTTACATGTGTTTAAAGGGTCATGATAAATTATAATTGCTGAAAGTTTAGTTCCTTAGAAAAGAAAATGCACAATGTTTCATATCAAAAATTATTTCAATCCAGTAATTTGCTGGAAGGAACTAATTAATATCTCTATTATTTACTATACTTATGAAGATATTCACTTTTATTTTACATGACCAAAAATTCATTAATATATTTTATTAAAAATCAGCATCAAATATATTCACTTATTCAAAACGTTTAAAGTGTATTTTAGACCGAATATTATTTCATCTCTAATATCAGGCTGTTTCCAGTTGTAAAACTGACCTTCTCCAAGACTGAACAACCATTAAGAAAAGATTTACTCAAAAAGACTAACTATATATTTGTTAGTATATTTCTATAGTGAAAATTTATATTGACTTCAGCTAAAATATAGATTAAAATATTAATATTGCATTCCATTATAGCTATAAAACTCATCAACCTTAATATCTGATTTTGACTTGAGGATTGCTTACTTATAATTAGTTACTTGACTGTAATTTCTGAGTCTTTGATGTCTGAATGCTGAAGAAATAAGTTGATAGCTATATGCTCAATTTACTGCAGTGATCATTATAATTTATAAATAATCTATGCTTTGGAGAATGGTCCTGACTTATAAACGGTAACCTATTTACAGTATGTTGATTTGGTTATTGATTTGTTATTTGGGTTCCTCAATCTGAATGTATAATCTAGGATACGTTCATTAAAATAGGTGGAAAATATATTTCCAGTCTAATTTGATTTACTTGTTACTTGTTAGAAGCTTTATAAATGATATATGATGATGCCCATTCACCTTTGAAGTGCTGAAACTAGAGTCTAAGGTCATATAGGAAGCCTACCTAACCTCTTTTGATGGAAGACCAAGTGCAGGTTTTATGTATGCTGTGTATAATACTAAAACCAAAAGGAAAGTGGATACATTTTACTTTCTATCACCTACTTGTTTGCATTGTCTTGGCTCAGGCTTTTTGTTTCACAAGGTAAAATGCGTTTAGAAAATATTGAACACTGATATTTTCATTAGTTCTAAAATTCTTTTATAAGAAGTCCAATTTACATGGCTGTCTGTGACTCATGGTTAGGGAAGTGAGAATTCAAGAGGCCATATTTTACTCTGGGTTTCATATTTCACAAAGGCAAGAAAAACAGGGAGAGCAGAGTGGGAACTTTTAGATTAAGGAACAACTGGTATACTACAGAGCATGTTTAGGTAAGGATTTTAATTGATGCTTTAAAATTTTTTCTGGAATTACAGCTGGGGTTCTGGAAAAGAAGATAGGTCAGCATTAAAATCAAGGTGAAAAATCTTTATAGAAAGTTTTTCTGGGACCATAGGCATTTTTTTCCAAATAACACAATTAAGACATGTGCCTGAGGTCATTTCTGAAAGCTTTATGTGTGCTAAGAAATAAATACCATTAAATTTACTAGAGAAAAAATGGGTGGGGGAGGAGTTACACAATTTTTGTGGAAGTAAGGGTCAGTACCAAGTACTGGAAACATTTACGGGGAATGAGGTGGGAATCTAGAGATATTTTGCTCAGCAGTGATACTTCTTGGTAAGTATATCAGGTAAGAAATTCCTCATTATTCTCCACTTTGTTAAAAAAAATAAAACAAATGGAAACACCTTGCAATATGATCAATTTCCACTAGGTCAATTAAAAAGCGACACTGGTGTATAATTTTCTCTAAGAATGGATGACTGACAATTGACTTTTTTCCCAGTTCAACTAGTATTCCCCAGTGATCTTTTTTGCTATTTTTTTCATAGAATTTCAAATAAAACAGCTTTAACATATTGCTGAAAGCATAATTATAGAATTCATTTAAATTTGGTCTTTTAAAATGTTTAAATTATCATAAAGAGCTTGAGTTATACTGGAGCTTATCCCAAATCATTAAATTGTCTTGGGAAGACATCATTCAATGGATAAATACATGTTTTAAATATTATTCAAATTGACTACTGGCTATAAATAAATACGTTCATATTAATAACCTTAATTATCTAATCACTCTACCCTTAGTGGCTTTACACCACTGCAAATTTGGTAATAAGATTAAATAAAAGGCCTGTTTTGATCAATCTTATGTTCTTTCAATCTTATATCATTTTGCATAGTGACACTCACATTGAAATTTAATGGGGTAGGGGTTGGCACAGCGCAGGGAGGAGCAGGTAAGGACTTCATCAAAGCCTCCAGGAAAGCTCACCTTTCTGAGAGAGTAGATCTCACACTACCCGTTCTCATGAGCAGGCTCTGAACCTCGTGAGTGCCTGTGGTCAGTCCAGACAGGGAGCCATGATGGCTGAGGGGCAGGTCAATGGACTCAGAGCTCGTATGGAGACTAGTCATGGACTGGTAACTCGGAGTGTCCTTGCTGCCGGCAGAGGAACTGCTCATATTGGCAGCCCACACAAGACCACCTGATGTGAAAGAGTGAACCGATGCTGGGCTGGAAGCCAAGGAGTGACTTAAGCTTATTACATCTGTAGTTAAGTCTGAGGGTTTATTGAAGAGAGGGCTGCTGCTGCCACTCAGCCCACCAGCACTGCCCATGCTGCCCGTACCAGACGACGGTGACTCCAGACTGCCTTGCCGCGCTATTGTGGTACTAGGGCTGGGCACTACTGAGGAGGATTTCACACCCTCGGTATTAGGTGCAGAGGCAGATTTGCCACCTGCCTTGGCACCAAACAACCTAAAAGAAAAACAAATAACAACTTCAGTTGTTCCAAGAAACTAATATCCACATTTAATAGGGTTCCAGTACAAAGAGCCAAGCGTGCTTTGGTCTGAGGAACCAAGCACTTCCTGCCTCTATGTTACTGAACTTTGTAAGTTTGGATGTTTATTAATCATTGTAAGGGTAAATCACTACTGAGCTGCTAGAGGGGTAGGGAGAAGGGAGCAAGAGTCACACATGAAAGTCCCTGGCTTTCAACTTGAAGTGATCATAAGAATCTTTCACTCATTTATTTTGACCATTATTTTGCCTATTTACAGAACCATTATAATGAAACAACTTCTACGCATTCGATACAGGACACTCACATGGATTTTTTTCCTCTTCCATTTTTTTCCCAATAGTTTATTTGAAATCTGAAAGGAATGCTTAAGGCAAGGTTTAGGAAGGTAAGTTGAGTACGTGCAGGCCTGAGTAACTGTCAGAGTGTAGTTAGCTGGAAATATTGGACATTGTTGGCAACATGTGAATTTGTCTACATTTTCCCCCCAGAAAGGCCAAAGGGTTTTATGAAAGTTGCCAGTACTGTTCATATTTATAAAAGTGGCTTGGTGCTAAGTAGGATATTGGAGTTTAGTTCAGAAAACATTTTAGTTTTGTCAATGAAGCAGATGGTACAATCAAATTTATGTAAATATGGAAATAAAGTGATATGAAGTAATGACATAATGATTACTAATTAAGTTGCAATGAAATCCATAATTCCTAAAGTGAAATATTTTATGGCGAATATGAGAAATTGTTTCATAGGTAATGGGCCACAGGAGGGCACTATTGGCTTTTACTTAAGCAATGAACTATTTACACTTGCTACAAGCCATAATTTATTTTTACCAAATGAGAACCAACATTGCGATCAGCCAGTTTTTCAGCAGTAGTGTATCTAATGAGGAATACAACCTCTAGATTTTGAATAATTATATATTTAAGATTTCTTGAATGTAAGAATAAATATTTCAAAACTTTATTTCCAAGAGATCAAAGTTTTTGATTTAGTTGGCAGAATAAAGAGAAACATTAAAAATATTTAATGAGTAACGTATCATAAGTCATACTCTATTATTTTGCAGATGAGAAAATAGACCCAGAGAAGTTTACCTATGCAACTCAAATCTTTAACTGTATTTATTTTCCTGCCATTTAAGAATATTTAAACACTGTGATATTTCTGAGAAGAGGTTTTCATATTTAATACGAAATACAATCCTGGTGCAGAAAACAATCTTACCAGAGTAATGCTTACCAGAGTCCTGGTAAAGTTAAAGAAAGCTGATGAAGAGTTAGAAAACTTAGCCAACTCTTTAATTGTTATCCTGTATAGAACATCTTAATGTTTTCAAATTCTGTCAATCAGATCATAACTTGATTTTCTTTAATATGTCAAGATAATAGAGCTGTATAAATTTACTCAATGTAATCTGTTATAAGGAACATATCATCTATATTCATGACCCTAAACTTATTAAGATCTAGTAAGATAATGAACTCTAGAAATAAATGCCAATAGTCATAAAGACCTTCTTTGTTTTGCGTTTTAATTATGGAAAGAAGGGATGGAAATCTGTTGAATTTTTACAAGCTATTACTTCATTTTATCACTACCCCTGGAATTGTCATCTGATTTTAAGTCTCTTGCATATGGCATTAGTATGTGTCATGAATAATAGTTCATGCTACTATGATAATTCAACTGTGAAGTTTGACCATTTCTCAGAAAGAGAACCACTTTTTTGCTAGATATTTATATGGTCAAGCTTCTTAGAAATCTCTATTTTAAGATTATAAGATATATGCATCTTAGAGTATGTATATTCAGGAAATATATTAAAATATGCTTGCATATAATGGATGTATATAATATATACATGTTTTCATGCTTTTCCAACATCATTTTACATATCCTTACCTTCTAAATGTAGGTGAAGCAATATCTGGATACTTGGACCCTGGCTGCCTGAGCCCTTGTGTACCACAGGCACTGGCAGAGGTGGGACTGGATTTGGGGGACCCTGACAAAGAAACACTATCTGAATCTGAGACTGCTACTTTTTCCTTCTCCTTGTCTGTTTGGTTGACAGTTACGGGACTCGAGCGTCCTGAGCCAATCTTAGTGGGTTCCCTCAGTTTCGAGGTAGTGGCACCAGCTGACTTGCTGCTGACATTGGAGTCAATACTGCTGGTACTGGATCTGTGGCCACCTCGTCCTGGAATGCCACTGGTGCTGGATTTTGAAGGGCGGGGCAAGCTGCGGTACTGTAGGGTGGTCTTTGAGCTCACATGTAGCACACCATCATCCTGATTCTGTGAACCATCCAAACTGGTTTTCCTCCCTGCATTTGACTTCCCACCAATGGCAGCAGACTTGGGAATTTTACCCAGCGTTGCTGAGCCACTTGTTATGGTCGCTCCACTGCTAGTGATCATAGTGGAAGACCCTACCCCACTTGGCTTCTTAAATCCAAAAGAGCTGGTGGCTGTGGATCTTCCGATGCCTGAGGGGGGCTTTTTCCCCTCATCTCCGCTGCTTTTTCCTGCATCTGATGGAGACCGTTGCAGGGACGATCCTTTCAGAGGAGTTTTCCCTTTCTCACAAACTTTGGCATCATCAGTTTTCCCTAATTCATGAGAAATACACAGATAAGTGTGTCTGAATATTTTGATACCATAAGAACACTTTCTAAAACAATATGAAAAGTGAATGTTTCTTTATATTACCTCAGTCCCTCAATATTTATTTTTTATTTAAATAAGATGCATATGCACTCTCATGTATCAGTTTATAGCCCCAAAACTTGGCTGTCAGAGGAAATGTGATAAGAGATTGAGGAGATAATAGGAAAACATAATTGTGCTATTTGTTAATGTCTTATGTATTACAACTCTTTTGCTTTAAAAGAATAATAATTAATTCTATCAAGCTAAGTACTAGAAAAATAACTCATTTGAATATCAGTAGGATGGTTGTATTTGAAAAATCCTGCCACAGATACTTCTGGTGGCACTCTATAAAATAGTTAGAGGGAGAGTCTTCAAAAAAAAAAAAAAAACCAAGAATGGTTCATTTTTTTGTCTTATCTCCCAATGGTATTTCTACTTTGGCTTTGGAGTTTTGCTGGTACGAGGGGTTGAAGTCAGGGCCTCACACTTGCTAGGCAGGCACTCTACCACTTGAGCCACTCCACCAGTCAAGGATGGTGCACTTTATCAGAATTCCTTCATTCTTTTCTTTCATAAAGTCTGATTCACAAATGGCATCCCAAATATCCAACATTCTAGCCATTAGTTTGGTGTGATTGCTTTTGACCTTGAGAGTTTATGGTAAAACTCAGTTGTATCTATAACATAAATACTGAATACTTCAAACTTTCACAATTAGTCAGAACAAATGAAGGTTTCTCATTAATTCAGCAGCCTTATTTTATTTCTATATGATTTGAAATGACTAGAACATAGTAAGAGATCCAGTAACCCCAAATATGAGGTGGTCTCTAAAGAATGCATAGGTTGCTGTGTTTAATATGGGCTTATGTGACAAAGTACCTGAAATTTAGGCAGAAACTGTTTAATTCTATGGAGAAGAATCTGATTTATAAAGAGAGCTATGATGAATGAAAACAAATCTTGATTGGAAACAATAAATGAGAGCACTTTTGCAAAACAGCCACCCAGTGCAGGCCTACCAGGAGTCTTGAGTGCACTTGTGCCAGCTTTCTGCCTAGCCGGTGGTCCTCCCTGGGCAGACATGCCTCTCCTCCAGGAGCCCGTCTGTGATATGGACAGGGAAGATTTCTGCCCTCCCTTCTCAGGGTCTTCAGGAAGTCCTGAGGAGCCCCCCTTCCACTTGCCAGCTCCTTCACTATGACTGTCAAATTCCTCTTCTGTTTTTTTCAGCTCCTCAGGACTGTCCCAGGTCTCATCTATTGTAGTATGCTTCTCTGCATCTGTCTTCAGCTATAAAGAAAAATATTTCAGAACAACTTTACAAATTAAAATCTGTAAGTGTGAATTAGGCACTGGAAAGCATGTTCAGATAACTGGTGAAAATAAAGAAGCACTGATTTATACTTCAAAGGAACTCCAGGGACAATTCTATTTTTACCCACATCCTCATTTAAATTTCATTAATTTTAGTCACATAATTCTCACTTGCACATATTAGAGAATGTCAGGATAAGTATGTGCAGAAACCCTAATTAAATACTCCAAATAAAAAGGAATTTCTGTAGCAAGGAAAATGAAGACAAGATAAAACTTAATTATTGAATGTCCATTCTTGATATACCATTCACATGAGAGCCAGTAACCTATTTCAGAGACCAATATAAAATTAAAAAACTATACAAAGTTGAATCATTAAAAGAGCTGTTAGACTTTTAAACAAGTACATCAATATTAAAATGAGAGATATAGCAATATGTCTTTCTGGGTTAGATTGTAAACAACATCCTGTATATACACACACATATATTGATAATCAGAACTGGCTGAGATGTTCATTTTTGCAGCTCCTGAGTGTCATAGCTCCAGAGAAAACTAAGATGAAGATACTTCGGGGCCCCTCGTGAGTTCCTGTTATTTCTGCCTCATTCAGTTTATGCAAATATTTCAGATTAAGGGTCAGCACTAAAGCATAATGTAATACAAAGTAATTCTGGGGAAAAAAACTGGCAGAAACACTGGAAAAAGAAAGAGGATGACTCTCACCTGAGTGTTTTTCCTGGAAGGCACAGTGATGTTGGAGTAAGAGCTGACTGAGGATGTGGTGTTCAGGTCATCAGTGCTGATGTTATCCAAGGTGTCACTGAGACCGCTGCTCACTGAACTGCTGTCATCCCAGCTAAAGGCAAGACATGCAGCAGCAATGAGCCAAGTGCAGGATGTACAAGTCACCTACACTGCTATATAACACATATGATATTCATGTATCAGGAAGACAATCCTTTATAATCTCAGGATACAAAATATTCACTTTCCATTTTGGAAAGATTATATTTATAAGAATTGAGAATAACCTTATCTGATATTCTGAAAAGAACCAACATCTACAGCAGATCCAGGTTTGTGGAATGAATGAAAACACAGAGAAAAATATTGCAGGGTATCAGGAAAAAGTAACATAGCAGTTGATTTTTCTCCCCCTAAAAGCAATCCAGAGTCATAAAGCATGTAAGAATTCATTCTTTGTTCCATAAACAAAACACTTGTGCATTAGGCAGGATCCTCAAAGCCATTCCTCCTTGTTTGTCTACCACAGTAATTACACCCAATCATTCACCCAGTCTTAACTACTGAGATGCATTTGATGATCTCATCCCTGCTGGGATTTCTCACAGTTCTGGACAATACAAAATATCTTCCTAGCTGACCTTCCTGGTTTTGATCTTATCTTTCCCAATATAAATTCACCTGCTAAATCTGGGTCAGCGATCAAAAAGTCACACCTGGCCACGCACTGCCCTGCTTTTCCTTTCCCAAGCACTAGGTTCTCAAATAAAAGGTACCTCCTCCACAGGGTGCATGAGGAAATGCAGTCGAGGTATAAGAGAAATATCTGAAATTCTGAACATACTTGTTTTTGATCTAAACAAGACTAAGTCAAATGGGCTATCTCACTATTCATGTGCAGGCTAGCTAGCATGGATACCTTCACTTAGTCAATGTGTTAGATGATGTAGAACTAACGCAGGAATAATAGGGTAACTGAAAGAGAATGAGAACTTTACTGTGCTAGGAACTGGACCATAGTTTTCTCATTTATTGTCTGGTTCTCAGTCTACTGTGATAATTTAATAATTACCTGTGCTCTGTTAAATGCAACCAGGGACAGAAAATCTAGTTATTGTGTATGAACCAAAGCTAAGTCTCATGAAATGGACACGTGGCTTAAAAAACCTGCAAATAATCTACACATGGAAGAGAATATTTCATGAAAGCACAAGCAAAACACAAAGCAGTGGTACCATATGTCATTAGGGAATTTTAAATTAGAACAATGATGTGTCTTACAAACCTATTAGAATAGTCAAAATTCAAAGCATTAATTATACCAAATGCTGGCAAGGATGTGAAGAACTGTAACCCTTATTCAGTGTTAGTAGAAATAAAAAAAAAAGGTTGTTTTTTTTTTTACAAGACTAAAGATAGTCTTACAATATGATACAGCAATTGCCCTCATTGGCATTTCAAATGAGATGAAAATTCATGTCCACGCAGAAACCTGAACAGACTTTTATAGTAGTTTTATTCATCATTGCCAAAACCTAGAGACAACTAAGATGTTCTTTATTTGGTAAATGCATAATCTGTAACACATCAAATAATGGAATATCATTCAGCATTAAAAACAAAAACATTACCAAGCCATGAAAAACCATGGAGGAAACTTGAAAATGCATGTTACTAAGCTTCTTTCAAGAAGCTAATTTGAAAATTATATATGCTATATGATGCCAAACATATACTATTCTGGAAAAGGCAAACGATGAGCACAGGAATCAGTGATTGACATGAGTTAGGAATGGGGTGGGGATGCATAGGTAAAGCACAAAGGATTTGTAGGGTTGTGAAGCTATTCTTTATAACACTATAATATTGGACATAGATCCATATAGATTTATCCAAATTCATAAAGCATACACACCAAGAGTAGGTACTAATGAAAGCTGTAGACTTTGTGTAATAAAGATGCATCCATTCAGTTCATGATTACAACAGAAGTACCACTCTGAGGGGCAGATGGGAATGTTGTTATTGGAGGAGGCAAAAAATGTTTATGTCGGGGAGGAATATGAGGAAAAAGGGTTGTATGGGAAATATCTTATTGCCTAATCTTGTTATGAACCCAAACTTTTTCTACAAAATAAAGTCTATTACAAAAGAAGGAAAGGAAAAGCAGTGTTTTCCATATTGGCCACAGTCTACGTCTATAGCTTGAGCTATATATCCCCAGCCTCACTTTTTATATTTCACCTTGGAATTGCAGGCAGTTCCCATCACCATCATCCATTTTCAACCTCTGTCTGTGATCGAAGTACCCCTCTGCCTATCTAACTAAACCACACTATCAGTATAACTCAATTCCTATATGACTTTCCCATCTGCTAGGGAGACTCTTTTACTCTGTTCTCAAGATGAATTAGGTACTCTCCTGCACTCCCGTAATACTAACCTCTAGGACTCTACTGGCATAAATCTATAAAAATTAACCTATGAGTGTCTGATCTCAAAGCTATGTGATTTTTTTTTTAATCACTACTGGTTAGGGAAATGTGCAACATTTAAATGTTGAATAAACCCTCAAATTTTATTGAGATTAAGAGAAGGCAGTTACTGAGGCAATCTCTCTTACATGAGGTTTTAAGGCACATGTGCAAAATAACACACAATAATCTTTTCTGTATTCAAACAGTGAAATTAGGCTGAAAGGTAAGATTTCTAAAGAGGATTTTAAAGTGACTATTTCTCTTATATGAAATAAGCATCAATATTTCTAATAATAAATTTTGATCAATGTAAATCATAACAGCAACAAATAGACTACCAAATTATATAAGATCTAAAAGCTGCTTAATAGTCTTCCATATCTCTTTTGATTCTATACTAATTAAAATGTATGTCTTGACTCTCACATTGTCTTAGTCCTTTTTTTGTTTTTACAACAAAATATTGGAGATTGGGCAGTTTATACATAAAAGATGTTCATTTTTATTACAGTTCTGGAGATTCAAGAGCACAGTCTCAGCATTTTCTCAATTCTGGTCAGGGATTCTGCTACATCATAACATGGTGGATGGTGTCATGGTGGGAGTGAGTGCAGGAGGACTCACATGGTAAGACAGAAAGCCAGAGAGAGTCAGGAGTCAAGGATCCTATTGTTGTTACACCTAGCTAACACACGAACTAGCTGGGGTCCCCTGAGAACTATACTCATCTCTTCTAAGGACAGCATACTCCAATAACCTAACTACCTTTCACCAGGCCACATTTTTTTAATGATTCCACTTCCTCATCACCTTCATATTGAGGACTAAGCTTCCAGCACTACATGAACCTGTGGGAGATGCAATCAATCTGTATCAAAATCATAGCATACATTTTATAAAATGTTGAGAAAATCAATTAATGATAATCAATATTTATAATTCAAGCTATTTAACCTCAGGTAATTCTTCAAGGTTATTCAGAAATTCTATTTCATATAAAAGTAATGCTCTTTTCATTCCAAAAAATAGTTTTCATGTATCTTTCCTTTTCTCTTAATTTTAAGGTTCTTTCTCTAATAATTTACTGAAATTACTTTCAAAAAGGTTAGTAACATCTAAGAATTGAGTGCTTCCCATGTGCTAAGTACTTAGCACATATTTTCTAATCTTCAAAACAACTCTCTTAATCATTTCCCTCATTTTACAACTCAGGGTAAAGACCTTTGGGTGGATTAAATCACATGTCCAAGATTCCATGATAGTGTAGATAGGATCTGAACCCAGAAAATTTCTCTCTAAAGCTTGGATAGTACTATGCTGTTGTTCTTTCTGTCTTCTCTTCCATTTTTTTTTCTTGAAATACACCAATAACAAGCATTTATAGTCCTTCTGTCAGCTTCACCTGCCTTCGGAGTCCTCTACTTTGCTCCTCTTCTTTGGAATGTCTTTGGAATTTTCAATATTCTGGACTCACTTTAGAAATTCTTCCTTGGCAATTCCATAACTTTCTACAACTTCAATATCACCTTCATGATTATGACACCAGATTCACATCTCTAATTTAGAACTCTCTCCTGATTACAAGATCAGCATTTCCTGACTAATTTGGCAGTTTTTCAAGGATATCCTATCAGCATCTCTATTAACTTGACATCATTTCTCTTCAAAAATTCTTCTCCCTTATTTACAATAGCTAACTTATGGAAACAGCCAAGATGCTCCATTGCCGATAAATGCATTAAGAAAATGTGGGATTTATACACAATGGAATTTTACTCAGCCACAAAGAATGAAATTTTGTCACTCTCAGGTAAATGGATGGAACTGGAGAACATCATCTTTTGTGAAGTTAGCCAGGATCAGAAGGCCAAAAGCCACAAGTTCTCTCTCATATGTGGAATATAGACCTAATATAAATGCAGCAATATTATGAAACATTGGTCACACTAAGGGGAAGTCACACATGAGATGGGTAGGGTAAAAGAAGGAAACTAAGAAGTTGAATATGGTTGATATACTCATTATAAAAAGAATAATAGAAATCTTAAACCAGCTAAAACCATCATAAGAGAGGGACTAAGGAAGAATGAAGAAAATTAGAGTAGAGATAAACCAATTGGGGTTATAATACATATATACATGGAAATATCACAAAGAAACTCCCTGTGTAGCTACCTACATCTCAAACAAGCAAAATGTCATTTTTTTTCTTTTTTCTTCTACAAAATTGGGGAACAGGTCCCGCAGGGATGGGAGGGGTAGTACCAGTGGGAGGGAGGAGGTGGTGGGGAAAGGGGGTAGGAGGGTGAATACAGTGCAAAAATAGTTACATATGAATGTAAATGCAAAAATGATACCTGTTGAAACTATTCCAGGAATCAGGGGAGGGGTGGATAAATAAGAGTGGTAGAGGTGGTGAATTCAAGAATGATACATTCGATATATTGTAAGAACCTTTGTAAATGTCACAGTGTACCCCCACCCAGAAAAACAATAAGGGAAAAAATTCTTTTCCATTTATTAATACCACCTGCCAATCCTTCTGTTTTAATATATTATTCTTGTTGTCACTCTTCTCTTATTCAGGCCCATTGTCAGTGAAGTTGTCTCTAATCCTTTAAACTCCTTTGTAGCT